AAAACTGATAATCTTTTTGAAATAGCAATGAATGAAAAGAACAATGAACATATAAAAACTATGGAGAAACAGCAAGAATCTCTTCCACCTCCTCTTTTAAGTCTAATGTAATGTCCCTTTCTTGGCACCACTCCTCCATTGACCTTAGAATAACATCATTTCAGTTGTTGTCGTCGATTTTTCATACATAATGCTGAATATTNAAGAAACTTGATGATATTCCGGGCTTTNTCGTCCCTCTTGCATGCTATATACTCGATCCTCTTCTTCCTTGCTTTATACACAATCTACGAAGAATTGAGAATGGTTCTTTTTTTTCTTTATTTTTGTNTTCTGAAAAGAAAGTAACAAAAATAAACACGTTAGGAACAAATTGATTTCGAGGGGATTCAGAAGACGTTAAAGCAGATTGAAAATTACCGAGATTTCCATTTCAAGTCGCTTTGTCTTTGTGATATTGGTCCAACGTCAGAGAGCCAAATCTACGAAGAACCAATTCGGAAACACTAAGCTCTGAAGAGAATCAAATGGCCGTTGTTGAATAAATTTGTGAAGAGATGCAAATTGATCTCTACATTGTGAAGAATCTACTTCCAAACCATGGTGTAAGACCGCAATGCATCAGTCAGCCTAAGATTTCTTCAATAAAAAAATCACCTTCAATTGTTGCGACCGTGCTGAAATTTTCTGTTGTTTCTGTGGGTAGATTTGAAGAACTTTGGGTATACGGTTGGTTTATATAAGNTAGGGAGTGGAAGGTCATGGAGGAGTGGGTTGTGGCCATTAAAGCCATTGAATTGCGATTAGTGGGAATGACAATGAAGGTGAGGAAGTGGTGTAGCCATAACGGTGGGAGAATTTAAGAACGATGGGTAGAGGAATCGTGAGAGAGAGAGGAATCATTGTCTGCGTTTTTTCTAGGGTTGAGAAGAGGAAAACAATCGTTACTCGTGAGAAAGAAGAGTTTAGTTGGGCTGTGGGCTTTATGTTTTTTATGGGTCACATTTTCGTATTAAATTGGAGATGGGTTGTGAGCTTATGTTTTTAATGGGTCACATTTTCGTTTGAGAGGTATAAAAAATCAACGAAGGAATGAANGAGAGTTGCAGTATGATGTGGCAGTGTTTTAGAGAGTTTTAGTTTTGCTGATGTGGCTAGCTTAAGGTGTCTCAATTAGCTCCTATTAGTTAGTATAATGTATAGCATAAATACCGTACGTCAAACGCCTAAATGTCGTATACGTGGGCGTCTACATTGTATTTTAGAATAATGGATAAGATGAATAATGTTAATTTTAATTATTCTTTTCGTAAAAAAGTCAAAA